TTGTCCACATGGTCGCATAATGTAGCGATAAGCCGAACAGTATTGTTTCGAGATGACCTAAGCTCATCATGATCTCTGCTTCCTCCAACATTAACTATTTTCCTCACATTTTTCTTCTGCAAATCGTAAATAAAAAGCTCAATACTATCCGGAGCCGGACTACAACATCTTCTTCCTTGCTCCAAGACGATTTCTCCAGCATCAGTAGTACCCAAGAGTACTGTTGGTTTGAATCTAAAATCACAAGAGGAAGGAGGAAAAACATCAGTCTTCTTCGACCAAATCTGCTTCTTAACATCCTCAAGAACCCATAAAGTATAACTATTATCAATCTTGACTAAAAGGCAGGCTAATTTCCCACGATAGTTTATTCCAGTACGTGGCTTCAATTCAAATTCTTTTGGTGCTTCAATGAGAAGTAACCGTTCAGACCCAACATCAAAACTCTCTATCACAAATATCTTTTTGTTTGATTGTTTTATCCCAGCTTCGTAATACATTAAGCCGTTGATGTATATCTCCCTATAGTAGACTTGATAATAGGAGAAGTTACTTTCGACGTGCCTCCACGATGAAAACGAAGATTGTTGACCTCTTTCCAACGTACATACACTATGTATAACAGAGCCGTCTTTACTAAACATCCTGCGCAATATCTTGTACTGATCATTGGTTGGGTCGTATCCCAAGCACATATAACAACGCTTATACTTAGTGTCAAACCAGGAAAGGTCATTAGGTATCTTTAGTACTTGTCTCGTTGTTGGATTACATATCAAGAAACAACCATCCAAGAGACACCAAAGAGAAAGACCATTGACAGAATTGCAGAAGTGAGAGATTTTTAGGTCCGGTATGTTGTGTTTGGATACCATTGATGAATGGTTTGATTCTTGAGGGAGAAGAGGTGTAGAGAGAAAGAACAATCGACTCTCATCACTGTTATGAATATCGTAGCCGAGAAGCAAACGTGGTGGAGACAGAGACATGAAAGAGTCGATGAATGATCTGCTACGTGTAATGGAACACCATTGCTTCGATACGCATCTGAATTTCAAAAGAGATTTCACCGGCAATCTTACGAGAATCTCGAACGTTAGATCTAGAGGAATCGGATCTGTCTTGTTTTCAATGCTTGAGATCACTTCTTCATCTCTCTGCTGCTGTCTTTTCATTGTGGCCGCTGGAACAAGAAACAACATTAACCCTAGAACAACTATTTATAAGGGTAAGTCAATTATTCGGCGTTATTTGGGCCCTACATAGTTACATACTTACGTGTAAATCCGTAAACAAAATTAAGGGCCCAATTGTTCCTAGTAATATTTACATTATTACATTTAAAACATAGTACTATTACTAGTGAGCGAGATAATCGATAGAAAAAAAAATTACGACTTTTATAACATAGTAATTTTTTTTAATCTAATTAGACATAGAGTTGTTTATAAAAGAGAATTAGAGATTTATAAAAGAGATTAACCCATAATAATTAGACAGAGAGTTGTTTAATGTTATATTTTGTGATTTGGCAAACCAGATATCGTGATACTATTGAAGAATTCTTAATTTGTAAATGAGATTTATTACTGTTAGGTTTCATAAAATTCCAACTCCCATGAGTTTCATAGGTTTTTAACTACAAACATATTCCCAATATTTTTTTTTTTTTGATAAACCGTTAAAGTTCTGAACTTTTGTCCATAATACTTTCGGTACCCGAAAACAATATTTGGATATTCTGATTTAATTTAAAGAATCAACCTACTTGTGTTACCACTAATCCACCACACTTTTTGGTCATATTACCAATGTTAGAGTGAAATTTATTTCTAGTTGGGACGGAAGAGCCATCCACTTAAGAAAATGTTTAAAGAATTTCAAAGCGAAAGTGTGTAGGAGCTTTGAATAATATACTAGTAACATAGACTTCTAACTAAACATCAATTCACGCTCTACTTATTGACCTATGTAACTCATTGCTTTCTTAATTATAGAACATCGGTGACATGATACATCGATGTTGATTTGACAGCAACCCTAAAATATATGTAATAATTCTAATATGCTAAAAGATCTGCACAAATATTCGTTAAAATAGTACATACATATATAAAAGGTCCAAGATACACAAAATAAACCATTAAAATCAACAAATACATTGCATGCTTCACGCGGTTTCTCTCCACCATGATACACAAAACAAACCATTAAAGTACATATATTTTCCAAACACGAAATGATGTTCATGGCTGAAATACCTTTTCCAATTGTAACCACAAGATTTCTCCGAATCATGATGAACTTTAAAAGCACAATCCTCAATTTCTTCTCCATCAATTACATCGTCATGTGTATCAGCGCTTTCACAAGTAACTCCACATGACAATGTTACAGATAGTGGAAGACATGGAGTATCATCTGGATGGTTGATGAGGTGTTTGCTTTATGACTTGGTAGCTCGATACATTTTTTATGGACTAAGTAGTTACATGGCTCACAAACATAACCTACCTCATTGTTTCCGCCCAAGCCACAAGCACTACAAGGTTCAACAAGTGGTCTAGGAAATAAGGTGAGAGGAAGTTGATGTTTCTCTTGGTTTGTGATAGTAAATGGAGGATCTTGCCTTATGCACTCAGCGCCTAGGCTAAAATTACAGTCAAGACAACGAAAAAACATTGAACCAAGCTCTAAACCACACCAACCACAAGCGTTGTTGGATTCAAAAACAAGGTTTTGGTCAAGCATGGGCTCATCGAACGTTAAGGAAGATACTTCAGTCTTATCATTTTTGAATGATTGGATTCTTGTTTCGGAAAATCGAATGGTGAAGTAGAGAGGGTGGTTAGGATGATAAGGGTGTTTCATACCTTATGGGGCGAAGTAACAACATTCATGGAGCACGATCTTGCATACATCACAATAGTAGTGCCACTTATTCCAGTCAAGATCCTCATCATTCTCACCGATTGGTCCACATCGAAAGCATAGTGAAGGACGGGGATTGTCTCGACGAGAAAGGACGTGAGGATCAAAGAGACGACATCTTGGTGCTAGCTCTTCTTCTGTTTCACCATCCATTTTGTTGCACGGAAGAGTTTTTTCAATCTTCTTATATAATCTTTTTCTTTTTCATAACTCTGTGAGTTGTTAATGATTGAACTAGTCTCCAAGTTTATGTCAAACAAAGATTAAAAAGTTGAGCCAAATTTTAAAACTATATAATCTTTCAAGAAGTTGAAATAATCGCTCATATTTTGTTTTAGTGATTTATATATTGGATAAACCATTTTAAATAAAGAAATGTTTTGGGTATAACATCATCAGCATCGTCAAAATTATTTTTCCAGAATGATAAAAACAAATCAATAGTGTTAACGAAGTCGACTGTTTTAACAAGTTAACAAAAAAAAAAAACAGAAATCTAGAACTCGTAAAATAAGTTTTATTAAAATATACTACTAGTCAACGGTTTCCAATTTGATAACGTGGAGTTGCAAGGAGTTTATACGAATAACAGGTTTACTTAAATAACATTTAACATCAATTAATACTTAGG